GATACGGAGCGTGACGAGCAGATTGAGTTGGCAGGGAACGATAGGCTGACGGCATCGCAGAAGAAGACGGAGAGGAGGTGGTCGTAGCGTGCAGCGACGTCGGCGGCGGTGGAGGAGGGGCAAGAGGACGCTGCACAGGAGCGGTGGCAGCAGCAGCAGGGGCAAGGTGAGACTGGGTCGGAAGTTGTTGGTGTTGGTGATGAGGAGTAGTATGATGAGGGGCAGCAGAAGCAATAGCAGGAGTACTAGTACTAGTACTAGTAGTAGTATGGTATTGCAGGCCGTGGTGGTTATGCTGCCGGTAGTGGAGATAAGCCGAAGATGAGGCGGAAGCAGCACCAGCATTAGCAGCAGGAGGGAGCAGCCGGGTCACCGCATGATGTTGCAGAATTGCTGGGCTGTTATTCGTCCGAGCATATTTAGCATTAATCGCGGCCACGGACTGCTGAGCATGATTGACCGCGCCAAGCGACCGGACGCTATCCAGGAAATTCGCCCGGGGATTGTGGACAGGCACGCTAGGGTTGTGCGTATATTGAGCCCTACACTCGGTGGACGATGGCCCCAGGTAATACCAGATCTGGTGCTGTTGCTGCCGGTGCTGCTGCCCCTGGAGCTGGTGGATCCAGACATGGCTTGCATCGTTCACCGTCTCAAATTCGGCCCACTGATACGGCGACGGCCCATCACCAAACGGGCTACCTGCCACCGGCAAATCGAGTTCTTTCCGATTCTCGGGTTTACGCGCCAAATGCGCCGGGAGTGGCTTAGTCCCGGGAGCCAGAGGTGCAAAGTTGCTCTTCCGAACGATGAGCAACCATCGGTACGGCAGTTCAATGGTATCACTAGGAAGAAGAGTCAGTCAACATGCGGTCAGACATAAGAGAAAAAAAAAAAAAAAAAACAAAAAAATTTAGACTCCAACTCTCCCACCGAGACCCGCCAGTAAGAAGCAGGAATCAGGTCAAACCAGAGTGCGTGGGAGAAAGCCTCCGATAAAGGAACAAAAAATGGTGGTGGGGTCATGGAGGGGCAATCATAAATCACAGCCACAAAGAAATCAAACCATCAAAAACACAAAAAACACAGAAACGGGAGGAAAAGGGAAAACTCACCCCCGTGGAAGCATCTTGACCAGCAATGAGTACTCCTCTGGTCGATTCTCCAGAACCACGGCTCCATTGATTTCCTTATCCGCTTGGAACTGGATCAGATCGCCAGGAACCAGTCCCCGCGCCGTGTCGAGAAGTTTACGGTCGTGCTCGAATGAATCGCCATTCATCACCTGGTGTCGCTTTTGACGGTGATATTTGCACTTCAGATCGATGCTGGGAATTGAGTATTGATTACCGTCGTCCGCAATCACCGCGACCGAGCCCAGTTCGCATTGAACACCCGCCAGAAGAGCACAAGTGGCGTGGTATGCCCGGGTGCATTTACCATAGTTGCATTGGAAACAGGCACCACGGACTTCGCGACAGAAGAGACACTTGAGTCCCATGCGCGCCTTGGGGACCTTGTCCACATCGCACACGACTTCCCTGCCCGACTCATCCCGGAGGATGCTTGTCTCCTCGGTATACAAAGCACAACGACGGTGAGCGTGCGATCGACCATCCTCGGTCGGAAGAAGGTCTTCATATTCCAGGTCATTGGGACATAACAGACAAGGAATCCTTCTGGGAACATCCATATGGACCCTCATGCGCTTGGCCCGGGTCAGGTCACCGTCATGCTTGCGCTTGCGACCACGAGTACTGGCTGTCTTTTCGGGGACACTACGTGGTGGAGTAAGGAGGTCGGATGCACCTTCGAGGTCATCCATGTCGCTACCGTAACATTCATCATAGTAGTACTCTGGAGTCGACTCGCCCCGCAACTTCCGCTCAATCTCGTCCACGTCAATCCAGACACTGTCCGCTTCGCAATTGCACTTCTTGGCGATGCGGCCGTAGTCCAGCCATTTCTCCGTGGCGAAGTTGACGGACTCGGCACAGTTGTAGCCCAGGTTGTATCCTGAGTGGTACCCATACGGATAGGTGATGACGAACTCGCCCTCGTAGTGGACCATCTTATTGACGGTGATACCATACTGCGACTTGAGAAGACTGGGGGAGACGAGGTAGGTTTTGTGGCGGAGGAATTGGTCGCAGCTCTTCGCATCGCTGGTCCAGATGCTTTTCATGGCTTGTTCAAATCGAGGAGCATCTTCCTGCGAAATGCTATACCACTGCTTAGGTGCACCAAAGTGGATATAGTTTATACTGTAGAGATCAACGTCCTCCAAGTGCCAGGCAAAAGTGGCTTTCCACATGCCCAAGTATAGATATGCCGTGTTGACACCGGGAACTTTTTGGCCTATCACATCCAGCAAGTTGGGAAGCTTGGCGACATTCCATGACTTGGTGATGTTATCGTCAAACAGCGAACCCGGCATGTCCGCGCCGTACATGGGATTGTTGAACATGAGCGATTTCCAGTATGCCGTCTCCAGCTCTTCACACCTCTCGTGCGTGTAGTCCGCGTTGTCGTGGATTCGATAGTCAAAGTCCTTGAAGGCCTCTTCGTCCACAAAGTCCACGGCGTCACCCCGGTTGTTCTTGCGTCGTGCGTTCACCGACTTGGGCTGTCGTCCTTTCGGCTTCGGTGCTGGCAACGCCTCACCCTCGCTTAGCTCCTCTGATTTGGTCTCGACGGGGTTCGACTCGGGCGACACGGGGGTCGGAGGTCCTTCAAGTTTGGTCTTATCGAAACTATCATCCACCGGCTCTTCCTTCACCTTGACTTGGTTTGCACGCTTAGGTGGTCGTCCAGGACGCCGCTTTTGGGGCGAGGCATTCGTAGTCTGAGGTTTGGGAGTCGGCGCAGCGCGAGTCACTCGTTCCTGGTTTCGACGTCGTTCGCCTCGTCGGGCCGGGGGCTGGTGACTGCTTTCCTCGCATAACGCCTTCCATTGCGGGAGGTTGTAGGATCGTTGTTTCTCGATGTTCGCCTGGGTGTAGGTGCCATGCGAACCGTGGAATTCTTGCATTATGGGATTCTTGACGCGGATTTTCTTGATAGCTTCGTCGAGCGCTGGAAGATCATCGGCCCTACCATTGTCAGTCATCGTCACGGGTAACCGGACTTGCCAAAAACATACCATTCCTTAGGAGGAATAACCTTGACAATGCCGGCCTTCATACCATACTTATCGACCTTATTGATGAACTTTTGAAAATCCTGAAACTGGTTCATAGTCTTCCAAGCATTGTCAGCCCTGCGACTCAGACCAGGATACACCCGGAGCCCATCGCAACACATACCGGCTTGAACACAGGGATCTTGCCTCCACCATAGTAATGATCTGGCTCGATCTCCTCATCCTCCTCCTCAGATGCCGGAGCCGCACCGTTTTTAGGGTCGAGTTCCAGATCCGAAAGCTCCGAGGGCACCCCTTCGGGGACCTCTTTCTTGCCATTGGCACTCTGAGGGGGGGTGAAGGAAGCGGTAGCAGGATCGGTGGTCGTGGTTATACAGCCGCTCGTGGCGGGCTTGTTGGAGAGAGGTTGCTCAAGCGCGGCGGCCATCATCGCGGTATGATGGGGGGAAAACGGAATCGGGTCAAGACGGGTCGGAGGGAGGGAGAGAAATAAGGAAGCCGTCGTCGGGAAAGATGCGACCGCTGATCGACGGCGATAGAGGTGGATTCCCAGCGGTCGGGGGAAGTAGAGAGAGCTGTTGAATGAAGGAGAGGAAGGGTACAAGTATGTCGTTGAAAGTGAAGTCTCCTGATCTGTTATTTGTTATTTTCCTGCTGCGTGAGAAGCTCAGGCAAGAAAGCGACAAAAAAAACGAAAAGGATCGCAAAGAAAAGCAATAATTGAAGGCCTGATAAAACACAAGAATGGCTGTTATCAAGCGTTCTGGACTGGACTGGAGAAAAGATCGATATCAGATGGAGAGGAGGTCAGTCGGGAAAAAGGTAGAGCCGTTCTAGATACAGAATCACCTGATATGCTCAGGGCTTCTCCAGTCCAGCAGATCCCAGCACGGCCGCTGGCTCCGGTTTCGGTGGATCGCTGCGCCCAGGCACTTGCAGAGAACTTGTACGTAGTATACAGCAGTAATCAAACCGGATATTCAAATAGAGGCAATAAACAATTCAAAAGAAATAATACTTACAGATACTAACAGTTGACAATTCGTGTTGCTGATACAGTACAGAGTATTTGCATACCGTACAATTGCGGCTCTAGAAAGCCTTTGCTTTGATATAAAGTCACGTGGTACACGTGACAACCATATTCACCGGCAAACCACTAACCGGTATTCCTGTATCTACGCAAGCAATGGTATATCACGTACTGCTGGAAACAGCAATGAAGATCGGATGATCTCATTGCTAGGGCTTCTGATTGGCTGCATAAACCATGAGTCATTGCAGATACACAGGGTATGAAATAGAGTGCTATTCATAATATGCCGAGCACAGCATTGACTGATGTCCTCAGTACTACTTATGTGGACAAGCCAAATACGGCATACCCTACTAATACCCAATACAGACACTCGCGTACCATACTGCACGTACCGCTGCAGAACACAGCTACTAATGCACGTCCCTGTCCCGAAACAGCTAACGGCATCTTATCAAATCCTAGCACGGACATACATCCCTGTCAATACCTAGTCCATGTGCCATGCAACGCACACTTGTCTAGGAATAACATACGAGGACCTTGGAATCTACCCGATGCGGTCCCATTGGGCACAAAGACTTGACATTGTCAAACCACATGGATTACTAGAGTGCTGCAAAGGACTCAGGGATTCGCTATGCAGGTTCCATATAACACAAGATAAACATGCGGTGATGCAACAGTTTGTGGACTGTATGTACTCCGTGCTCGTAACAATTCAATTCAATGTCGTATCAACATGAGAAACGCTGCAGGGAATCAAAAATAGAAAATCAGGAATTATAACGCCAGTCGTGAACCAGAATCAATCATAGCACGCTAATAGTCATTCAAATGCAACTTCTTTCCAACGAACCGCCGCTTGACGGTTCTGTCAACGCTACGTTCCCGTTCAGCGTTCAACCCCTTGAGAGCGTGGAAGAGCATTCCTGCGTCGAAGAAACCATCTGTTTCAGTTAGCATATTGTTTCATGAACGATAAAAAAAAAAAACTCACATCCTCCCATGCCATCATCCTCCAGCTCTCCGCCATCTGTCGTCGGCGTCTCGGTGCCCCGCTGGTACACTTGGTTCGGATCACCCCGGACGATACGGCCCCGGCGGTGCTCGGCCCTGTCAGACCTCTCGGCAATCTGCTCCATCTCACGAGCGCGGCTTGTACGCGGGCTTGTGGTCTTGCGGGTAGTCGCACGCAACAACTTGCGGATCTCCAAGAGATACATTTCGAGTGTTTGCATCAACCGCGCCGTCTGGCGATGCTTGGACGAAGCGCAGATCGAGATCGAGTCGTCCTTGATGATGTATCCGATACCGAAGCCGTCGCCGGACGTCGGGCCGAAGCCAAAGTGCCGCAAGCATGGGTTGCCGCAGTTCGAGGTCGACAGGATCGTGTTGTTGATCTTGTCCCAGCCTGGGTCACTGAAGATGGCCGGCGTGGCGGGTACGGGACGCATGCCGCGAAGGCTGTAGCTGTTGGCCGAGGAGAGACCGTCCTCGGACAACCCGGCGTCCGAGGCTTTGGGCGACTCGGCCACTGAGCCGTTCTCGACGGGGCTAGAGTAACCGTTGGAGATCGTGTCCACGCTGGCGGTAGACGAGGTAATCTCATCAAACGAACGCTGCCATAGGCAGTACAGCGCATACAGGTGCCGATCCTGTCCTTGTCCCTTGGAGCACTCCTTGGTGATAGCCGTATGCTTTTCGGTCGCCTTCCGGAGAGCGTTAATCTTCTGCTCCGGGGGATTGTCGCCCCAGAAGGCCTGGATGAAGTCGACACACTCGTTGGTCACTGGGCGGATAGCCTCAGTCCGTCCGTGCAAGAAGAACTTGGTCATGGCCGGCTCGTAAGTGCTCTCCATACGACCATAGAGACCGTAGTAAGCAGCCTGGAACGCCATTTGGAGAAAGGCATCGGGGGAGAAGCCCATAGAGGTAATAAAGTTCTTCCCGAACCCTTCAAAGTCGAGCACCTTGAAGTCATGCTGCTGGATCAGGTCGGACAGATGGGACTCGGCGAACCGTAAAGCGATGCTCAGCTCCGGAGCCATGTCCCATTCAAGCTTCCGCGGGGTGGTGCTCACATTGCCGAAGCTGCGGGGGTCCCGCTTGGCCGGGTCAGGGCTGCTGGTCGCCCACAGGGTGGGGGCTTGGCCGTTAATCGTCTTGGCGAATCGGAGGATGGTATCGGTGTAGATATCGCTGGCGAACCGCAGCACCGTGTGACCATCAACACCGGTGTGTTCAAAGTTGATTCCGGCACTGCCGTTCTTGCACACAATGATCTGAAGCTTGTCGTACCACCGGTTGGTGCATGTACCCACCTGAACACCCCGTACCACTTCGCTAGTTCCACAGATCATGTTGGCGCACAGTTCTGATGTGGTTTGGGGCTCGGTGTAGTCGAGGCAGAGCATGAACAGCGCTGAGTCGACGATGTTTAGTGATTCCGCATTGTTGGAACCTTCATCCTTGGTCAAGATGTCTCTCATGGACGACCACACCTTCCGGTTCTCCGTACTGAGCACACCCAGGGCGCCTTTGGCAGCATCCTGGATGGGCGTCTGCTCAGCATCGTTAATGATCACCTGGAGATTGAGCGCGATGTCCTTCTCGCTCATAATCAGGTCGCTGTTCTCGTCAAGGACGTCGAACCAGTAGATCTGTCCGCGGCAGAGCACTGCGACGTGCTTAGCACGAGGGTCCTGGTTGATAACGCAGCCGTTCTCTGTCGGAACACGCGCAGTACCAAACAATCGAGAGTACTGGTACATGCAAAGGGGAGTGCCACGGACAGTGTCAGGTGGCAACTCCTCTCGCCGGACGGCTCGGACAAACGACAAAGCAGAGACAGCCAGGGAGGCGGCACGAGTAACCTGGTTGTTACGTGCGGGAGTCGGGTCATCTTCCAACAAGAAGAAGGGGTTCAAGTTCAGAACAACAGCTGGAGCATTCGTCAGTACACTAATTCAAGAGTAAACTAAACGGAGTAAGATGTCATACGGTTATCAAAGTTCAAGTACGAGTCGTACCCTAGTTTTGTTAGCCTGCACTTCAGTCACTCGTTTGCAGGGTGTGTTCAACATACAGAACTGCTCAATGAAACTCGTTTTAGACGAGGCATAGTTCTTAAGCTTCTCTTGCAAAACAGGTCCATCGGTCCTGAGGAAATCCTGTACAGCCGCCTTGGTCTCCTCTTGCTCCCTGGGAGATTGCAATGCGGACAAAGATTCCAGGTATCTATTGCAAGTTTTCTCAAGTTCGGGAACGGGCAATTTAGGGAGAGAGTCTTGGTTGGCGAAAGTCAGACCCTTCTTCTCCTTCGAGGAAACATCTGGTGCCGGCGCGGCACCGTTTATATTGGGTTGTGTCGACATGTCGCCGTTTGTCAATGCCTGGTTGTTGGAGGATGCAATCTTGGGTTCGAGAGTAGGCTGGGATAGACGTCTGGGGGAAGTCATGGTATCCCCGATAGGTTTAGGGGCAGTAAAAAAACGAACTGCCATGTCGGAGTAAGACATGATCGTCAGTTGGAGGTCAGAAAAGCGTCAGGTGATAGGTGCCCAATCAACTAGGCAAAGCGACAGGCGAGGAAAGTAGGAATGGACAAAAGACGTAGAGCACTGCGGTAGAAATAGTGACAATCGTGCAAACAATACGAGGGCATTGACAGGGGGTATAAGACCGGCAGACAGACAAAAGACCAGAGCAAGAGTGTTAAAAAAGGAAAAGAACATAACAGGTAACATAAAGAGCAGTAGTAGATATACATATAGGAATAGATACCCCGCCGAGCCGCCGCCTGGAGATGGTGGAGTAACGGGAGTCCATTCGGGGCGATGGAAAAAAAAGACCAACGGAAGAAGGGGACAAGGAGCAGCGCCGCTTACCAGGGCTGTCTAGTAATGAGAGAACCTTTTGACGGGTCGAATCCAGTGCTCAGTGGAGCGTCCGAGGGAACCAGGATGTGTCGGGGGAACGGATAACTGGAGAACGAGAGTTAGCCACTGCTGGTTTGCCGTGGAGGAATGGAGATAAGCTGGAGATTCCTTCTGTCCTTACCTTCTCTTTCTTTCTTGCTCACTTGAGTCAGTGTCGTTCAATCCCTTTATAAATCAACAATCACTCTTCTTTGCCTAGTGATCCGGCTAAACGATCAAGGCTGGTGGTCAATGGAGATCCGTCACTTCTCCCCACAACATGCGGGGATCAGAAGACACCTTAAAAGAGCCAGAACCTGAGGTAAAAATTCTCGGTCGATAGAGTCGATTGATTGGCACAACGCAGACAAATAGACAAAAGGATGAATAGAAGAACTATGTAAAATGAAGAAATGAAGATCTCAAATAAGAGGCAGTAGTTGTAGTATCAGTAGTAATAGTAGCCCAATCTCCAACGCGAACGGAAGTCTTAAGTCTGGGGCAAATTCTCACTTCGATTAAGGCGAATTGTCAGTGGATCAAAACCCATGGAACATGCACAGCGTCATAATACTGGGAAACAGTAATTAGGTACGGGGTACCTTCGGTGACGTCTCGGACGAAGGGAGTTTCTGCAGTAGTTGCCTTTTGGGTTTCTTCCTTTGGGCTGTTCTTCAGGAAAAAGCTCGGCGTTGGTTTGGCAATTTGCGGGGGTGGTCACGTGGTAAATCATTTCAGCACTGGCCAGCGCTACATCATCGCTGCGAGCTGTACATACATACATAGAAGACTAAAGTAATTAAGCTTGTATGAGTGCTTGGCAAGAACACAGCAGGTATCTACGTGCTTATGCATCAATGCAGTGCGTACATGGACGAATCGACACGTGAGACAAAACTACAAAAGCAAATTTAATAATTGATTGCATGCAGGTGCGAAAGAACCGACACGGCCAGGAAAGAAGAATAAAATATACACAAATAGCTAGTTAACTGTAACATTATTCTGCGAGCAACTTTGGATCTCCTTTTAGTGGCCCCGCCGCTTTGTGAGAGGCTCACGTGACTGTCCCCGAGTGATCAGGGAACGTCATCAGCGTTCTGGGACACGCACCCCGGAATCCTAGCTCACTCCGGGAGCTCTTGGAGTACTAGCAAAACCATTCCCAGGGCACTCTGGGAGCATCCCAAAATAAGTGCCAGGTCTCTGTGGAAGGTCCTTTCACCGTACGAGATGCCAGTCGAAGGATTAAGGTCCGTGTTGATGAAGAATCGTGGAAGAAACTGCATGAGAACTCATTTCCGCGACAAAATCGGACATTTATATACGAATATCAACAGGTTAACCGAATCTTTCTCTGACTTGTCAGGGTCGGCTTACTACGTGAGGTTGGTTAATCCCACTACAACCCTTGAATACGATGAGATATGTGAGAATGGATATGAGGCGACAGTTTGAAATTCAATTATATTAAAAAGCAATTAAATTTAGAAGTTTTGCTGAATTTGAGATCTATTCGTTCTCCAGAACGTCATCTAAGCCAAAATTGCTCAAATCTCCAGGGCAAGCAGACAACCATCCTTCTTTGCTTACTGCGTTCTAGAAGGGATCGTTCTTCGATATTGGGAAATCCAGGTCGTTTACAATGAGCCTCCTGGCTGCTGGTCTGTTCACCATGTCATAAACTTTGTACAAGGTCAGATTGAACCGTTTAACCTCTTCAATGCTGATCCAGACATATGAAACAAGTTCTTCCGGGGTATACCGGAAAGCATGCCTAGTCGTTTACAACTAACAAGGCACTCGAGGAGCTCCATGTCAGAAGGCGGGAGAAAGGGCTCCAGGTCAAATCCTAACGAATCTCGGCCCTTATATATTAGAGTGAAAATTATGTGTAGTAGAATTGCTTGGTATGTCGGAATCGGCCAAGCACAGGAACTACATGCCTCTGCGGTAGAGGCGTCCCATGTCCCCTGTGTGTTTCATTGTTAATGAAGGCGTGGTTTAATCAGAAATACCTGGTATCAGCTCACTCTATGTTGCTATATTGCCCAACATAGTGTATTGTGAGATCAATTGCTGCGGACTGTGAACTTTGCCCCCCATTTGCCCACATCCCGGTGACCATCATCAATTACAAAGGGGTTTTGTAGTACTGATTCAATGACCCACTATGAACATGGCTAATAGGGGTGAAACTGTTCAAATCAAAGTCTGACGAAGAGTCGATCTTTTTGCGTCTTGGGTGGTGAGGATGATGTGTTCTGTGATGACAGTGCTGGTTTGTCGGGAGAATCACGACGGCCTATCTCTTGTGATTCGTCCAGGGAACAGGAAATCCTCCTGTACGAACATTCATTACTGATCCCTTGGTCAAAGAGTCCTTGGCAAATAACAACTGGCGCTGGCCATATTGGGCTTTTGCCATCATAATGCCCGTGGTGCTCTGCCCACTGGCCGGAATTTTCCAGTACTATCAGTGGGTGGCCGAGGTTAGAGGTGTCTACAAACGGCTTACACGTAGTGGGCGGTCGCCGGCCCAGTCTATCGTTTATTACATGCAAAAATTTGCTTGTATGTTTGACCTGCTACTCACTAGCTTTTTGTCCGCACTGACAAGTAATCCATGTATCCAGTGGTTGGAAATATTATATTGAAGGCGGCCTTCGGCTTTTCCTGCTACCGCTCACCATGGACACCTATGGCGAAATCATGTATGCTTCCCCGATGTTCATCGTCCCTCTTGCTGTTGGAGGTTTCCTTCTCGGTTTATATTGGTCTTTGGCAACGATACGGTACCCAGATGAGCTGCTCGACACCGGAGCCCTGAAGAAGCTAGCAATCATTAGTTGCTTTGCGCTCGCATCCATCCAACACATTAGTTTCTGCTACTGGGATATGTACAATTTGGAAGCAACCATTATATACTACGGACTCTCATTAAAGTCGAGCTCTTATGTGATGCAAATATATAATCTCGGCTCACTGCTAGAAGGTATACTGTTTGGTTTCGCTGTCTTCTTTACTCGACGATTCAAACCTATCTGTCTTTACCTTGGCTTGCCGTTAACGATTCTTGGACTAGGGTTATGATCAATGTGCGCGGCAAAGGGAGCTCGGGCATTGGGTATATGGTTGGGTATCAGGTCCTTGTTGGCTTGGCTGCCGGGACTGTGAACAATACTGAAGCCTCATTTGCTTCTCCTTAGTATAGAGCCAATAACGAGTGTTATCCTCCTCCAACTTGTCAATTGAGAATGTGTATATCTTTATCGCAGGCTCCACCAACACTCTATCTGGTGATCTAGGCCGAGGGGTACCCTCAGCAGAGGTCTCTGTTTTACGAGATCCCACCATAATGACTTTCTCACAACCCAAAGGGTTATTGGCCGATAAATACGTAGGGAACTAATCGAGGGTAAGGCACGTAGTCAGGATTGTATTGATTGGTCCATAGTCGATGTTAAATGAATATAGAACCCCCTCCCCCCCCCCCCCCCCCCCCCCCCCCC